TTTAAACATTGCTTCTGGAATATTATTTTTAAAATATGCTAGTGCGAAGATATAAAGAGGTAATTTTTGTTTAGAGACCACAATTAGGACCAGCAACTGAGTTGTTAAGTGAAGTGGTTTCTAAGTGAAACCAGAACTGTGCTTATGATCCTACTTCATCTTTAATTTCCTTTACAAATCTGTGAGGGTCATAAATACAATGCTTGATTGTAAAATTACTTCTTCATCATCTTCATTACTGCAAACAGTCATTAAACAAAGCAGTCGCTAAACAAGAACTACTTGTACTGACATTTTACCTTAATATCTAATAATTGGTACCTTTTTCTATGTGTGCAATGCAATTTGATTGTCTTCTTTAAAGAGTGCATGCAAACATGGGTGGTACATTTATTTTTAATTAGACATTTGTTTGCCTCCAGCTTGTCAGCTACATAAAAACCATAGTCTTGCCTCCAGCCAAGTTCATTTCAAAACTAAAAGGGAAAAAATGTCAGCAATTGTTCTGGCAAACCTTCAACGTTTCTTAGATTCCGTGAATCATAGCTATGTTTTCAGAGGCCATGCCAAAGTAGAAGTCAACAAACTCCTTATGGATCTTGAGAAATGAATACAATTCTGCATTAGTCGCAACATCAAATTTCTGGAAAAACTGAAGATATGGAAAGATTTTTTTTGAGATAGAGGCTGAACATTTTCACAAAGTTGCTTTCTTACCAAATCTAAACTTTCTTGATACATTAATGTCACAACAAATGTGAAAGTGCATAACATTATATTGTTTTTAAATTAAACAATGTAAAACCTTTTAGAAATATAATAGATATCTAGCATACTCTGTTATACCAATAAATTGTTATATAGCCCAACAAAATGAATTAATATGAGGCATGGGTTTTGATTGGTATTAAATCAATAAAAATATTTTATGACTAAAATCAGTGTGCCTAATAAAGATAATATGAAATGTACATGGGGTTATAGATCTTTGCAGTTAAGCCAAGTGAAATAACTATTTAAGTTTCTTTATATACAGTACATTTTTAACAGAATGGCTCAAATTTTAATAGCAGTTAGCAGAGAATAAAAATAGTATGCTGGTATCAAAGATGTGTGTAATATTTATGACAGTGTGTTGGAAAACCTTTGGCATAGTCAAGTTCCAAAAGTCAGATACATGATACAAGATAATGCAACAGAGGAATAAAGTTTTTAAAAGTTGATGTTGAGGTTAAATAAGATAATATTTAAACTACAGATACAAACTATTCCTCTATGTCTACTTAATTATATTAAAAAATGTAACTCTGAGAATGTTACATATGCCAATACAGTTCTGTTAATGGCAGCTATATTATGTATTAATTAAATTTAGAAATTTAATACTAGCTTACTAGGAGCCTGCCAGAAAATGAAAAAAATATATTAAACGACTATTTTTGAACTAATGTTGAATGGATTTATGGAAAATCAGTGACTGAGTAGAATAATATTTTGGAATACTGTACAGAATTTGGTCATTGTTTTCATCATTGTATTCTTGCATAATACATGAGCCTTTTGGGAGCAATTTAATTTCATCTATGATATCTGTATAGTTTCTTTTACAAGAATTGCTTGTATTATTCTTGCTATTTGTTTTTCAATTTTTTTTTTTTTTTTTTAAAATTATTTTTTTTTTTTTTTTTGGGGGGAAAAAGCAAAGTAAATTTTAGCAAACAAGATTTTATAGTATAGATTTAAAATGTGTGTGTATATGTGTGTGTGTGAGAGAGATCCTACATAAAATATTTTTTAAATTAATACATGTCAGTTTGTAGAGATTTTGAATATCAATTTTGCTTAAAATTATGTCATTATGCATATTAAATTTTTATGCACCATTAATTGAAAATAAATTTACCATTAAATTTACCAGACTTTCTACATTCTCGCCCCTGCACCATCACAACTCTTAAAAAGCATTCTTTAAAATAATTAATAATTACACAGGAAAAAGGGATGCATTTTACTATTTTCCTAAATACTGGGGGAGTGGAAATGTCTAATAAATTTACATAGAAAGTTGTGCAAATATTGTATCAATTTTTCATCTGACTCAAGATTTTGTACTTTTCTGTTTATGCGCTATATCTTAGGTATGGATCTGTCTTATCTGTTTGGTACCTGATTTTTTAAAATTAATGATGCCAGTAAAATTCTATGTTCTATCTAGATGTAGAAGTTCAGCATTAGAGTAATTAGATATACAGTAGCTATAACTGCACTACTTTTAAAAACTTTAAAAAAAAATTGATTTCACTCTGTATCACTTTGTACCAAAGCTGATATAAAGACCAATATCGAACAACTGAAAGAACCTGTGCTTGACAGGGTAGCGTAAAGAGCACTTGCCTATAAAGTTGCCAAGAGGTGGACACAGCTAAATGGATAAAACAACCTGTTATAAGCAAGCTGCTTCGTTATGTCAGTGGGTACTGATAGAGTGCTAATTGCCACTCTCTTGGCAATGATGTCTTATTCAGAGCAACTATTCTTTCCTACACTTAGTTTTGCTCCACCCTTGCCAACATTGCCATCTCACTGTGTTTTCCCACATCTTTAATTAGGAGGATATTTTAAAAGTTATCACTTGAAAATCAGGTATTCTCATTAGATCACAGTGTTCACTTTATTGTTGTTGTTGTTTTTGCCTATTGAACAGCTGCCTGTCAAAATGATAATTGGTTATGGAAAAATAGGATGAATCATTAACTGCACTGTACCATCAATTAGTCTGTTATAAGAGAATAGAGATTAAGTGTACAAGTCTTGTTATATGTTTCAAGTGTAAATAAGTCCTGTATAATCCCCTTTTTTATTGCAGAAAAGACGAAAAGGAATATGCACTGAAACAGATTGAAGGCACAGGAATATCCATGTCGGCATGTAGAGAAATAGCAGTAAGTGAACACAACAAAACTCTTTCTACAATTAACAGCATTGGGGAGAATCCAACTAGTTTCCATCAGGGGAAAGCTGTAGTGCAGTGCATTCTGCTTTCTCTGCAGAAAGTTCCATCTGCAATACTTGGCATTTAATTGAGAAATTGCTAGGCTAGTTGGAGCAACAATCCAAATTAATATGTAAGGCAGCTTCCTCTGTTCCTATTTCAGCAGAGAAGGGGAGACTTAATTTCTCCATTATAAACTATGATATATACTTCAATGCCGCTCTGGACTAGTTAGGAATGTGCATAATGGATGAAGTCAGACTGAAAAGGGAAGGAGTATTGCTGAAATCAAGCCCATCCTTTATCAGCCAGTAGAACCTAACATTTCTAGAGGGAAACTAGCTGAATTGTGCCATGTTAATTTTTAATTGTTCTGCTAAATGTCAACTTTAAAAGTCTCCATAAATTTGAATATACTTGGTTCAAATGTCACATTTGACATCTATACCTAAATAACATGGTATATTTTAAATTCAAATTTAAAAGATACCATACAGACAGTAATCCACATTTAAAAGATACTTAAAAATAATTAGATTAATTCTAATTTTAAAATTCTAAAACTTCCATAACTCCTAATTAATGGAAGATGTAAGGGTCTGTTAAGGGTCTGCTGTAATTTACATAATTTGCATGCATTTTTATTGTTTGTGTAATGCTGTCATTACACAAATGTAAATTGATAAATGATATAACATTCACAAAATGTCTGGATTATTCTGAATACAAACAGACATTGTTATTTTGGGATGATGTCTGGAAGTAAATTTTAACTATTAAATCAGAAGTCTACTAAATCAAGGATTTACTGTTTAGGTGCACTGTTTTATTTGCACCACTTGATTATTTGCAGTTGAGTGTATTAACATATAGTGCATTTAATGGGGTGCAAAATGCTCTGTAATATTAAATCTATGACAAATACAGTATTTTTCGCACTATAAGACGCACCCCCCCCCAAAAAAAGTGGGTGGAAATTGTGTATCTTGTACAGTGAATGTTGCCGAAGCCCTGCCCACTCGCTGGTCTTCAGTCTCTTCCTCCCAGCAATTTGCCTCCTTGTAACAAACAACAACCAGCCTGGTCCACTTCAGTACAGCCTGATTTAGCACGATCAGCTGATTTGCGGTTGAATCGACCTCCCGGAATACCATTGATCAGCTGTTCCAGGCTGCGAGGATCGCTGCTGCCCATTGCAGCCACCTCCTCTTGCCCTATTTTCAGCCTCCGGGTGTCCTGTTTTCAGCCGTTCCAGACGGCAAAGATCGCCACCTATCGCCACCTGGAGTGGCCCAAAAACAGGATGTGCACAGCCCGAAAATGAGGCACG